ATCTAAGGTTATTAAGATTGTCGATGTTTCCTACGGTGGCGAGAACGGGTTCAACCAGGCCATTGAATTAGCTGGCGAGACCCTAAGCAACGTCAAGTTCGTTCAGGAGAAGAAGCTTATTGCCCAGTACTTCCAGGAAATTAGCCAAGACACCGGCAAGGTCTGTTACGGTATTGAAGACACACTCAAGGCAATGGAGCTTGGTGCTGCTGAAATTTTGATCGTCCACGAGAACTTGGAGATCACTCGCTGGGTCATGAAGAACGCGGAAGGCAACACGGTCATCGTCCACACAAACAAGGCCCAGGAATCCAACAAGGACCTCTTCCAGGACAAGGAAACCGGATTGGACATGGAGGTTGTTGAATCAGGTTCTTTCCTCGAATGGCTTGCTGAGGCCTACAAGGACTTCGGTGCCAACCTGGAGTTCGTGTCTGACCGATCCGGCGAAGGAAACCAGTTCGTCAAGGGATTCGGTGGTATCGGTGCTATTCTCCGATACAAGGTCAACTTTGAACAGCTTGCCGATCACAGCGATGATGACGAGTTCTACGACGGTATGTTTCCTTTTTGTTTTCCTTCTTGTTTTCCTTTTTGTGTTTATGTTCATACTAACTTATCTCTACAGATTGACGGTATTGCCCCCTCGCAGAGAGCGAGGATGAACGGCCAGAAGCTCCCGCGGCGAGTCTTTTGACGGCTCGCCCTGTGGATCATACAGGCGGCTCCCGCAATGGAACCAAGGCATCCGTAAAGGATAACCAAAAAAGGCCTGGTCCAAGCTCCGTGAAGCTGCTCAGAGGTGAGACATCCAGATAGACTATCACTTCGAGGGGTTGGCTCTAATGTTTGAGTACAGTGTCGTCCAAGCTCCAAGATACGCACACTGAGGTCACCTCGGTGTCTGAGATGAAGATGAGGTTTAAATTGCAATTTGAAAGGTTGGGTGCAGTTATCTGCAACATATGGTCATCCGCCGTTGCTTGCACTGCTTACTCTATGTAAGCCGGACGGTGTTGGATTGTTTTATATTTCTCAGCCAGTTCTGTCGTTTCATCTCTGAATGGCATTGTCTGGTACTTCGCTCGTTATTTGCTCGTTATTTAAAAAAAAGCACCCGAAAGGGTTGATGTAGAAGGTGCTGTTTATTGTTTATTAATGTGCCGTTTTATCTTGCGGTGTACACTTTGTCCATATCATCGACAGTGCGTACATTTTCATTTATTCGTATAGTAAATTTAGATATTTTTCAACATATATGACATGACGCTTTCAGTGCGTTTGCAAAATCATCATTGAGTTTCTCCCGAAAAAGACTTAAGGCAAGTCATCAATTTGAACCAGTCAGTCAAGTCAAGCATTGCTTGCACTTAACTGATCTTTCCAGGTCCCCAAATCCCTACATGTCTCAGTGACTTGACGCAAATCATTGAGAGCCTTGTAGACGGCCTCTTTGTTCTCATCTGAGGGTGTCCTTCCACACTCAACGAAAAAGATATACTGCCACGACTTCTTCAGACTCGGCCTTGTGTTAATGCTCGTGAGATTCAAGCCATGAGCCTTGAAGATCAACAGCGCATCTGCCAATGCACCGGGAGATGAATGATCAATCGTGAAAGTAATCAAGGTCTTGTGCGTAGTTTCAAGGGCAGACTCGGCTTCCAACGTAGGCGGGTTCGGCTGCTTGAATGTGAGCTGGGCAGTTCGCTCATCGAGCACATTCCTGAATATCAGGAAACGAGTAGTATTGTCTGCTCTGTCCTCAATGTTTTCCACGAGCACGTCCGTCCCGTGTTGTTCTGCCGCGAAGCGATTGGCAATGGCAGCGCCTCGCTCTGTTGTCTCCTTGGAGACAATCTCCGCCGCCTTGGATGTGGATGCGACATCCTGTCTCTCGACGCCCTTGAAGTATTTCGTCAAGAAGGTTTCGCACTGGCCCCACGCCTGCGGGTGTGTGTATAGCTTGGTTATTGAGCCGTCGTAGTCTGCCCAACCACCGGGATATGTGCCCTTGCGCACCATTAGGCAATGGTGCACTGTCAGGTAATATTCCCCGCACACTTTCACGTCTTTATATAGACCATCTCGGTCTGCCAAGAGGTCTAATGTCTGCATCACGGAGCCATTGGTCGAGTTCTCACACGGAATCACGGCGTAGTCTGCTTCTTTGTTTTGGAGCGCGGCGAAGGCATCTGGGAATGAGACTTGAGGCTGTAATTCGGCGGATAGTTTGGAAAAGGACTCTGCAGCAGCCTAGAACAGGGATCAATAATCAAGCTAAGTTATATTTGCAAGGTTGTGGGGTAAAGTTTGTACCTGATGCGAAAAGGACCCCAGCGGTCCTAGGAAGGCGACTCTCAAAGGTGCCATTGTGAAGTATGGAGTGGTATTTTTGTTCTTCCCCGTGTCGATTGGGCTGAACCTATTTAAATCAAATCAAATCTTTGGACTGGTCATTTCATCGACAGGCGAGATCGGGTCTCCGAGCGGTGTGGGCTGCATTCCGATGTTGGGGCAGTTCCGATATAGGCAATGAGCGACAAACAAACAAATCAAACGGCGGAGTCTATGGCTCCAAGTGAAGCTTGCGATTTAATAACCGTCCAATTCAGTGTCTTTGCTCATGAAGACAAATTCACTCCGGCCCCTGATCTCTTTGCGAGGCGGGCGTCATGCATGTCGGGCTTACTCCTCGCTCTCCGAGCGCTTGCGTCATGAACTGACCACAAGGAAGCTCCCATTGACTTACGATTACCTACACCCCCAACCCTCGCATCTTCTGAACCTCACACTCCGTGATATTCTTCCACAATCCCAGAACTCCGCCGATTATGCGACTTTACCGTCATTACAGAACCCGTCCCCGCTCCCGATCGGTCACCATTTAATCTACTTCCCGCCGCAGGTGACCTTGTCGCAACTACTCCCGGACTGCACAGATACGTTACACACGCCGGGCGAACCATTTAATCGACGCCTTTGGGCAGGTGGAAATTTAAGATTCCCCGTGCGCAGTCCGCCTCTGGATGGCAGTCGCGCAGTATGCATAGAATCCATCCGCAACGTGACAGTGAAGGGTCGCGAGGGTGACGAGAAAGTGATTGTTACCATCGAGCGACGCATTGGCAATGTTACCGAACAAGAAACGGCCGATGAGACCTGGGACCGGATATGGAAAGGTAACGAAGAGAACGCGGGCGAAGCGTCAGTCATTGAGAACCGGGACCTCATTTTCATGCGTCTAAAAACCAGCGCCCAAATCGAGGCTGATAAGGCGCAGTTCGGAAAGCCCGGTAGGACTGTGAAACGTGAGCATATATTTTCCACTATTGAGTATAATATCAAATGTGCTAATTATTCTGGCGTAACAAAGCTCCCTCCGACGCGACGTTCCGCCATGCCATCATACCTACTAAAGCGCTGCTATTCCGATTCTCGGCGCTGACTTTCAATGCCCATTCCATTCACCTTGACAAGGGCTATACTCAGAACCAAGAGGGATATCCAGATCTTTTGGTGCATGGTCCGTTGACGCTCACGCTTCTGTTGAGTGTGCTTCAGCAACAGCTGAGTAAATTGAATCTCTGCATCAGTGACATTGAATATAAGAATATAGTGCCTCTTTTTGTTGAACAGGAACTGGTGATTTGTGGCAAGCCTAAAAATGATACTGGTGCTTGGGATGTGTGGATTGAAGGTCCAGATGGAGGGTTGGCTGTTCGGGGTACTGCGCGGACGAGGTCGAAATAATACGTTAAATGATGGGGACTGCGATACGACAATACCATATTCTTACAGAGTGTAGGTAAAAAGGCAAAATGAGTGTAATTTGTATAGACAAAGTTGGCTACTAAACCAAACTCCAATGTACATATAGCCGTGGGTATGATAATTGATGTTGAATAGTAGTACAATGAGGACTATACAGTATGTGTTAGAATGGATATTCTTCTCATAAAATTGATACTGGGAGGTATCAGGAAATAATTGCAAAGCTGTCTAATCTCTTCATGGAATGGAAGGTCATGTGTGTGGACTTCTCTCCTACCCTTGTTGCTACAAAAACCCTCCATACATTTGTAATGGAATTAGAAAGAAGTATAATGACGCTGCATTCCATTGAATGAAAGCAGCCTAAATTGAGATGTTTTCCTGCGATATATAATGCAAGTTGTATGCAGAAACTGGTGATGCAGACGTCGAACTGCATTGACAGCGCTAATATTGATTTCGCAGGAATTCAAGATTCTTGGCAAGCCAGAATGTATGCTGAGACTTTAGTAGTCGTAATCGAAATAACCCTGGAGCTACCTAGGCAAGGCTATTCCAAGATGCATGTAGTTAAACCAACCGGTAAAGATTATAGATGTGGCGTGGAGTAACCCCGCTATTAACTATTAATACTTAGTTAACTAGCTAGGATATTACTATTATATACCTCGCTTCGTGTACCCCGTACCATACCAAACACCAAGCTAAGCAGAATGTACGATTTTTTCTAATCAAATGTAAGTCTTTTTACTATACAAAGCAGAACTAATAGAGTGGGCAAAATATATGGCATAAAAAAAAGAGGCAGAACCGCAGCAAAATTCTAGGTGATTAGGAAGTAGGACCTGAAATTTCAGGTAGCGGGGGTATATCAATTCCCTATATATAACATGTATAAGAGAGAGAGACAGTATTGGAAATTATTGGAATCCACAACTAGCCCCTAGCACTTCCCCGGTAACATAGTCGACTGATCACCCAGCAAAATGTCTCACTGTTGGCAACCTCCTCGGTACTGGCCAGTCTCCGCATGGGGATATGAGGGAGCAAATGCCCGTCAATTATTTCCTGTGTGAAGCACTTCCTGAAAGCGGGGTATCCGTGATCCCAGGAGCAAGGCAGTTGGCTCGCACTCATTCCGATGCGCAATCCTTGAACCATGTTCAAGTCAGACCTGGCGCAGCGTGCTTGCTGGCAATGTAGGCAGCTATACTGGCAAATCTATGAGCCTAGACAGTTGATCCCACAACTATACAGGCTGTCACTATGGACACTCCGGCTCCGTTGCCGGGTGTATCAATAGGTAAGGAATTACCGGAGGCAGTAGGAGTAGTGGCAAGAATCTCTTCCTCGGTTTGGTATGAAGTTCCGACCCCGTTGATGTTAACCGCTATGATCGTATCAAACGTCTCATCGGAGTTGATGATTGATGCCGTTTGAGGCGAGATTCCTGCAGAATTTATCAGTCCGTGAATGACGGGAGACTTGCTAAGGATTGACCTGAAGGTCTCCCGCACCGTCTTCTGAGAAATGATATCTGTCCTCGGATAGAAGCGTAGTCGGTTTGTTTGGTCAGAAGAGGGAGGGGCTTCTGCATCTAATAATTCAGTTGCTGCGTCCATAACATGTACACTAATAGAGAGATCGAGGAATTTCTTGACAATTCCAAATCCAATTCAGAGACCCCGCTGGCTACTATAAATGACTGCGAAAAGTAGTAGTTGATAGCACTATTTGATTGATATTTCAAAGTGGAAAGAGATCCATGAAGTGGCTTGATGAGCATCGGATATGGCCCGAGTACCTTTCATGGCCAGTTAGATCTATACACACATCTAACTTCTCCAGAGATAAAGAAGTTATGATCTCGATAGTGCGATTGGACCTGTGGACTATGATGTATGCCTTGCTTATTTATTGCATACCAGTGTGAGGCTCAATGTTATGCTAAATCAAGATCCTCCGGTGCAGACCTCGTGTAGATCGGTGTAGATCACCTGCATCATCTATCAAGTTTACTCGGCCTGCCAACATTTGTACATGTTACGACGGGCCTAGTATAGACCCCTGGCAAAGATCAAAGGCCAAAAAATATCCTTCCATTTTTGTTACGGGGACAAAGTGATCAAAAGAAGAGCCAGAGTTTAGATACGTATCACATTTCGAAACAAAAGTTCAAACCGAAAGAAATTCTCCCAAACGCTGGCTTATCCTACTGAAATTCCAAGTAATCTAAAACCGCGTTCAACTCTGCACATTCCCCTAACTCTTGCCCCAATTCTGCTACAATCGCCCTTGCGGCCTTCATATAGATGGAGATTTGCTGCTTGCAATACCGACCACTCCCAGTGGATTCCATATACTTGCGGGCGAAGAGCTTGATGTCGTTGTCCGTGGTGCGTTGTTTGAGAATATGTAGTAGTTGCATATTTCCACTGTCGGATCGAATGCTGTGGATGATAGGGAATGAAAATTTGCCTTCCGTAATATCCTCGCAGAAGCCCTTGTTATCGGTGTAGGCTTCCGACCAGAGATTAAGATAGTCATCTTTGATCTGGAAGATGATTCCCAATAGATGAACGATGGGAACAAGGTCACTGAAAAAGTACGATATCATTTGTTAGCCACAAAAATAAATGGAAGGCAATCGGAAAAAAACGTACTTCTCTCTCTCACTCTCCAGTTGCAACAATCGAATAGCGAGACGGAAAAGGCCTCCGGTCTTATTCGACACCATCTCTAAATACTGCTCTTCGGTAGGGCAATTGAGTGAGTCCCGCCAGAACAGGTCCATCCCTTGGCCCCGATGCAGATTGAGAAGTTCTTCGGTGAAAATCTCAAGTGGTTTGGGACCTTTGAGGGCATAGAGTCGCTGCTGGGCCAAGAAATAGGCGTAGTTGGCCGAATTGATAGTTTGAGCAACCCCAAAGATCCGATGAGCGACAGGACGGCCTCGTCGCAAGAGAGACATATCTTGGATGTCATCAATTCTGTAGACCATTAGCAGATAATTAGGAATGGAAGGCGGAGGATAGACGAAACATACAATAAAGATGCAGTGTGCAAGAGCTCAACTACCGAGGTAATTACTTTGAGGCTCTCCTCGGGAACTCGCAGCCATTGATTAAAGCTACTTAGAAGTTTGTTTCGGAAGTTTTTCCCGGAACACGCCAGGAGATAGTCGATGGGAGCAGCAATGATCTGGTCAAGAGGATGGGTAATAGGTTAGTTTCGGTGACTATCACAGAACTCCTGGTTTTCTTTAACACACGCTTTCATTGTCCCCCGCGGGATGATTGATCATAGCAATCTCGGGTGGCACCTTGATCGTAGCAAAATCGGGCGACATATCAATGGGTGAAACTTCCCCCACGGTTGAGTCTAAAGTGTTCTTAGATAACTGTTTCTCGTTTAGGGCCGGGGGACTCGACGTCGGGGTCCAATTGTCTTTGTGTGGATCTTGCAAGACTGTAAACATGTTTAGTTCAAACAAAGCCATTGCTCGAGGTGGTAAGGCTGCTTCCATGATATATAAATAGGGGTTTGAGACAATAATCCAAGGGAACAGAGTTGTTTTAGATAAGTTAGAACAGGTGTAGGTGTTTCTAGTCAGGTAAACCACAATTCCTAATCCTATTTTTTGGGAGGAGGGTTCTTTCTCAAAAAAACAAAAAACAAAACAAGAAAAAAGAAATACTAATAAACCAGCGATAAAAATATTGATCATCATCAGGAAAGACGCCATCCAAGCGCGACCCAGTTGCCCGAGCTGATCGTGATAGCCGTACGGAGTCGACGGAGCAACTACATACGGAGTACTCCGTATGTACAATGTACTTACATACATGCCATAAGTGCGTGGAGATATATGATGCAGCCACATTTCTTCACTTATCGATGGAAGGAGACATGGTCTTCATAAAACTTAATCAGATAGTACTCTGGTTAAAAGTGTAAGTGTAATTAACGTGAAGATTGACATTAATACGTTGGTGAACAACATTGAAGTGTTTTGAGATGAACGTCTTCATATTCCTTAGCCAAATATTAATCTAGCTCCTAAAAGAGTAACTTATTTACAAACAAAGTGGCTGATTATAGAATTTCTACTCTTGTTGTAGACTTGATTTTACGAAGAAGTGATTCTGCACCAGTCAGGAAAACAGAACGAATAAAACAGAAACGATTTGCATCCCAGTTGAACATTCCTTTTTGAAATATCCGATGTGACTGCATATATTTCTGTCTAGACCTCATGATGCAGGTGGACCGATTCTAGATACATAGATGCATGCGTGGTCACTATTGCATTATCACCTCAAACCCTTCATTGTGATAGTTTTGCATATGACTGATTAAATCTCAATTCCCTCAATTTTCCGGAGGACAGTCGGTGATGAAAGCAATGCGAAGAACGGTACCTAGATAGAGCGCCCCTTTCCACACGTAAACTGACTAGTGTCGACATTGGAATGAGATTTCTCGATGCCATAGATTTGTATATCTAGATACCTACATTTTCTTTTTTTAAATTTGGCCACGGGCAACTGGACCTGGTCCAAGGAACTCATGCACCAAAAAGGAAATGGAGGGTATTTCCTGGCACCAGGTCTGCTATCTAGCGGGCGAACTTATGCTTGGAGCCTACCTATCATCCAATGTCATGATGCATCTTCTCTCATAACGACCGCTACTTTATTCCCCGAATGCATCCGCAAAGCTCAAGCACAACTAGACGAAGTGGTCGGTACGGACCAACTCCCGTCGATGGCGGATGAAAGTTAACTGCCATACGTTGTCGCATTCGCATTCATCAATAAAACGTTTCGCTGGCGTCCTGTGGCCCCCATTGGGATGCTTCACTCCGTCTTCAAAGATGACGAGTATATGGGCTACCGTATCCCAAAGAATTCTATCATCATCACCAATCCCCATTGAGTGGAGCGCGATGGGGAAGTTCACAGGGATCCAGAAGCCTTCCATCCTGAACGCTAGATCGGAGCTAAGGTAAGCAAGTAATTTAAAGGCCGATGGTGTTCAGGAAACGCAGATTCGATGAAACGGAGTTCATTGAGGAAAGAGAAATTAGGGTTATGAGATCTGAGACTAGAAACAAAGTTGATGCCTGAACCCTTAGGTCATAGCTCACACTTTAGGCAGGGACCATCTGTCACAAGTTATTCAGGTTTACATACTATGGAAACATGTAACTATTGACCCTTTATTAAAACTGGAAACAGGTAATTGCTAGCAATGTGAGCTGTCGAAACAAATGGAACGTGGATGGACCCATAACATAATACATTATGTAATCAACGGACCTCGGAGAAACTCTCCCGAAGCTAGCTTTGCACACCTTTTTTTTCCTTCCACCTGTCCTTCTCTTTCTTTCAACCTCACAGTAATTTGGCTATTCTGTGAGCGGCTGTAATGATCTAAGTCGTGATCAATTAACCATTTTGCATCTTATTCTTGCTCAAGATGGATGTCTTCTGGGCGGCTCCCCCGGTCATTAGGTATGCACGTCCCTATTTGCCGAGCCTCAAGCTCTCATTACTGACTTGTTATTCAGGACCCTGACAGCCTTGACTCTGGTTCAATCCGCTTTGATGTATAGCGGCTTACTGAGCTTCTATTGGGCGCCATTTATGCCGAGCATGATATTCTCATGGCCGCCGCAGATCTACCGGCTGGTCACACCATTTCTACTAACCGGACCGCAATTTTCTTTCGTCTTTGATCTCTACCTCAGTATGATGCCTCGGTATCACATTGGCCTAGCCTGATAATAGTGCTAATGTACCGATAGTGTACCGCTATGGCAGTGCTGCAGAAAAGAGCATGGCCCCTGGAGAGTTCTTCATTTATCTCCTATTCGTAGCTTTCAACATCATGGTAAGTGACTCAATAGAGTCTGCTTTTTTTTTTTTTTTTTTTTCTGCATTCGCGTTCATATCCAATCCCTCGCTATAACTGCCCGCCCAGCTTCGAAATCTAGCTGAATTCGGTTCCTGAAGGCGAGGGAGAGCACCCCTGCATCTGTGCAACACCACCATAATTCGCAAAATTCAGGTGTTGTGCAGGTGTGGGCATGGTGGGATTTCTTTCGAGCTCACTGGCGTGATTTAATATCGCGTCAGTATCGGAGGTGCCCTACATTTCTATATACATCATCTATTCTTTTCCAATACCATCCACATCCTATTTTACTCGTCATCCTGGTAGTCAAACACTTCTCTTCCAATTTGCTAACATTCCTAAGCTCACTGCAGGTGGTTATCTGGGAGCGCCTTTCCTTTTGTCCCGTAAGCTTGCCGTACTTGATTCCATTCCCACGCAGACACTAACTTGAAATCAGCCTTGACCATGGCTTTCGTCTACACGTTCTCCCAGACGAACCGAGGAACGAAGACGAGATTCTGGGTTGTCGACATCCCGGTGGTATTCCTGCCATATGCAATGCTTCTCGTCGGCATGGTGATGAACGGGTGGTATAGCACGCTGATAGATATCACGGGAATTGTCGCTGCTCATACATATGATTTCCTCACACGCATCTATCCGACTTTCGGTGGTGGAAGAAATTTCATCACTGTCCCCGGCTTCGTGGAGAGATACTTTACCCACCATGACCCCAACAGCGGATACCGAGGATATGGAACGGCGAGCCGCGCACCACGGCCAGCTGAGCAACCCTCGTCGGCGTCAACGTCAGGATCATCCTGGGGCAGCTGGACCTCTTCGGGTTCTTGGAACGGCAGAGGCGCTGGCCGGAGACTCGGTTAGATCAAGAGCCATACAGGCTCTAATTATGCTGTCACCCTGCATGGGAGATAATTTGCCTGTAACAGACGCTCCGGCGTTCATTATGCCTATATGGACTTCTGACAGATAGTGATAATAGTGATAATTGACAAGAACACGGTTTTGGGCATGTATCTGTCCACAAATACAGATTTCTTGAACCCCAGTAGTTAATTGTCTTTGAATATCTTTTATTGGATCAATTAGATTGATTTCTCCAATAATCTATAATGTTAGCAGAAAGTCTTAAAAAATTGGAAGTCCTTGGAACCGGAGGCGTAAAAAGTCGAGAACTCCAAGTCACGTGGAGCCTTCTCCAGGCGCTAAACCACTTCGGGCGCTGGAGCTGCCGCACTCGCAAAATTTCCTTCGACAAATTTTCGGGGTTTTCACCGCGCATCCTTCAACGACAACCAACAAAATGGCAGTCGTCAAGACCTCGGAGATGGACTACGCCATCAAGCCTGAAGCGTCCGTTCCTTCCGTTGATACATCGGATTGGCCGCTTCTGCTTAAGAACTATGAGAAGCGTACGCTTGTCCTCAAAACTCCACGCTTGACCAGCCGACATTGACTTTTTCTGTAGTGCTCGTTCGGACCGGTCACTTCACCCCTATCCCTGCTGGCTCTTCTCCCCTGAGCCGTGACTTGAAGTCATACATCAGCTCCGGTGTCATCAACCTTGACAAGCCCTCCAACCCTTCCAGTCATGAAGTCGTGGCTTGGATGAAGCGGATCCTGAGGTAAATCAAAATCCATAAAATCCCCTCAATGGTTTCGCATCCTTGCTAAACATCATACCCTCTGTAGATCCGAGAAGACTGGTCACAGTGGTACCCTTGATCCTAAGGTTACCGGTTGTTTGATTGTCTGCATTGACCGTGCCACCCGCCTGGTCAAGTCCCAGCAGGGTGCCGGTAAGGAGTATGTCTGTGTGATCCGTCTCCACGACAAGATCCCCGGTGGCGAGGCCCAGTTCGTCCGCGCTCTGGAGACCCTGACCGGTGCGCTCTTCCAGCGTCCCCCTCTGATCTCTGCCGTCAAGCGCCAGCTCCGTATCCGTACCATCCACGAGAGCAAGAACTACGAGTTCGACAATGAGCGCCACCTCGGTGTCTTCTGGGTCAGCTGTGAGGCTGGTACCTACATCCGTACCCTCTGTGTTCACCTGGGTCTCCTCCTCGGTGTCGGTGCCCACATGCAGGAACTTCGCCGTGTTCGCTCTGGAGCCATGGGTGAAGGTCCTGGTATGGTTACTCTGCACGATGTTATGGACGCCCAGTGGGTCTACGACAACAACCGCGATGAGTCTTACCTCCGCAAGGTCATCAGCCCTCTGGAGTCTCTCCTCACTGGTTACAAGCGTATTGTCGTCAAGGACAGCGCTGTCAACGCCGTCTGCTACGGTGCCAAGCTCATGATTCCTGGTCTTCTCCGCTACGGTATGTGAACATCTTCCCTGAGTTTTTATTTCTGGGCCATTACTGACTTTTTTCTTCAGAGGCCGGTATTGAGTGCCACGAGGAGGTTGTCCTCATGACCACCAAGGGTGAGGCTATTGCCATTGGTATCGCTCAGATGTCCACTGTCGAGCTCACCACCTGCGACCACGGCGTTGTTGCCAAGGTCAAGCGTTGCATCATGGAGCGTGACCTCTACCCCCGCCGCTGGGGCTTGGGACCTACTGCCCTTGAGAAGAAGAAGATGAAGTCCGCCGGAACTCTCGATGTAAGTGGCTGAACTTGAGCTGCCTTTGCTTTCCTACAACTTACTGACTTTCCTCTCAGAAATTCGGCCGTACCAACGATGCTACACCCGCTCAGTGGAAGAACGAGTACAAGGACTTCAACCTTCCCATCACCGGAACCTCCGCTGTTGCCCCCGCCACTGAGACTAAGACCGAGACCGAGACCCCCAAGGCGGACTCCCCCGAGCCCGTGAAGGAGGAGGTCGAAGACAAGAAGCGCAAGCGCGACGGCGAGACAGCCGAGGAGAAGGCCGAGCGCAAGAAGAAGAAGAAGGAGAAGAAGGAGAAGAAGGAGCGCCGGAAGTCCAAGCAGGATGATAGCGATGACAGCGACTAGATGCACTCCAGGAAGGCCGTCAGGTCCCTTTCCTGTACCATATTTTGCTATTTCCGGAGTCTTGGGTCAAAAGGGAAATTTGTTCTATTCCAGAGTTTCATATTGAAGGCTGCCTATCTGTTGAATCTACCATTCTTTTAAATCTGAGTAACGATAGCAAGTGAACTACGTATATGTAGCGCTTTGCTTTGTCCACAATGTTCTTTTTTCGGTTCATATCCCAGGGTGTTAGCTAAATGCAGCTATATAGACAAAATACGACTTTCTTGTCTTTATGAGGGCGCTTAGGCTCAGCCTCATTGATCAGGCCAGGGCAGTCATATGCATCACGAGACATTTGGTCCTGCTCCCACCGCCCATACCTTGCCAGATCCACCCCTGCGATCTGCAAATCCTTCAGCCAGAACACTAGGGCGGTCTCAAGTCGCCGCTCAGCTCGTTTTACTTCCCGCCTCGACCGCGGCACCGCCAATCCACAATCCATTAGCTCCGAAAACAGTGGTGTTGTTGCTTCTTTCCAGGGCCGATTCCCCTGTCGAACGAGATCTCTCGCGTGTATCCCCCCGAACAGCCACCCGGCAAGCTTCCTCCAATATTCAAACACCGTGCCCATCCGTTGCCTGACGGGATCAGCCGAATTAGGACCCCCAGGGACATGCTGGAGGTAAACCTTTGCAAACTCGTGCAGCGAAATCGGCTCCGTGTAATTCGCATCGAACGATCTCCGCGTCTACTACGTTTCCACATACAAGAATATCCAGAAGAACATTCGGGTTGACGTACCGCCAGATAATCGTCGTAAATCTGGTCTCTAGTGGTACTATGTGGGATTCCGCAGTGACCAAGTCAAAAAGACCGGGAACGCTCCATATAAATCGATGCAGGGTGCTTTTATCATAGTAGCTGTCTCGTGGGAGGAAGAAGGTCGCTGCTGCATCGAATAGGCCGTCTGTTGATTCTATAAGGCGGTAGGCGTTTAGGACGTCGCTGGCTTGGGCGATGTTTCGACAGAGGTAGTACAGAGGACTGTTTCTGTCGGTATTTGTTTCGTGGATGCTGTGGCCTGAGCGGATAAGGTATGTGATTGTCTCGAGGTTACCTTGGAAAGCGGCGTACTATTTTACCACTTGAGTTTCCGCATAATATTGCGGGGGGTTATCTACTTAGGTGTGTCCTTACGTGTAGTAGAGTCCAACCACATGGGTCGCGGTCGACAATGAGGCCTTGCGGTCGTTGAACAGTGGGATTATGGCTGAAAGGTCGCCGTCCAAGGCAGTTCCAAAGACGCCCGCGCCGTGGGGCCTGACTAACCACTGTCGAGAGGTATATGTCTACCCATTGCTGGCTCGTTTTGCGCGTATGTTCCAGACTGATCGGAAAAGCCACGCTGGTAGCTGAATCCGTACGCAGTAGACTTGGATACGTTAGCCTTCAAGACCATCCTTCATTTCATCGGGGGGATGATAAAGCTGGCAGACCTTCATCAGCTGAAGACAAAGTTCTAGTGGACCTGGACGAGTAGCTTCTAACTATGGAATATGTCCAAAGGAGATGCAGAGACCCCTTACTACCATTGATGCCGCTGATGTTGTTTGCATACTTTTTCTTGGATGTCGAGTTTTGCATAGACGGCCGTGTATGAGGCCCAGCACTTAGGGATCCTATCTGATTCACAATTAACGACGGCTGCTGCCTCGCTAAGGCTCCCAGCCAGTCTAATTAGTAACAGAGGCATTTTGGAAGCAACATACATTGCATACGTCTGCTGAGAGATCCCAAGAAGCCGCATTGCATCCCTTATCTCATCCTGGAGCTGGAGAACCACCTCCTTCCCAGTAACAGATAACAGCCTACACCCTCGTCCTATTCCTGCTGAATCTCCCTTTATCCTCGACGCGCTGTTTCAACTCGTCCACCAGTGCATCAACCCTATCTTTTGCGCTCTTACAATACTGCAGGCTTAACCCCATCGCACTGTCATTTTTGAGCAGTTGCTGGTCACGATTAAGCTCGATTTCCATCTCACTCAGTATGGGCATTGTTCAGCCCATGGACTTCATGCAAATGACGTCGAAGGTCACGCTCGTTGTCGAAAGCTTTGCCACACCCGCATACTGGCTTCGTTGAAGGACACTGGAGCCCACACATATGCCTTCGGTGTGTTGGCTAAATTTGCCACTTTTCAACCAATAACCTAATCAGTCTTCTGCGGGAAGATCCGTATCCCACAAGCAAAGGATTCGGTAGACGGGGCGGATCACCTGTTGTGATATATGATAACTTCAGCGCTGGTTTTCCCATGACTGGGAAGCGTGACTTGATAAAATAAGCTTGAGTATTACTGTTATCCTCAAGACGAACAAATAATGAACTCGGTACAAAAACTCCAGGACTGTTATGCTTGGCGTGATGAACCTAAATCTCTGCCCCAGTTGCCCATCGAACAGCAGCTTCAACCATACGTTGGACTAGCTTTACCTCCTCAAGGTCCCGTGGCGCATATACCATGATCTATGAGATCCCTTCTCATTAGCACCCATTTTAGTAATGAGGATTATGCTAACTGTGAAAGGAACTGACCCACCCCGGGGGCACCGACGATGGATCCGCAAATCGACGGCCCCAGCCCGCTTCCACAACGGCGCGAGCATCGGCCGGAGAAAGGAGCATATGAAGCGAATTGTCAGTGGGACGTACGTGGGCAATTTCGAAGCCGACTTTCTGCGCTTCGGTATTGCAGGCTGGAGATTCCGGACGTGCATAGATGGTATCCGCGGTCTCGCCTTCGGCATTGGACAAACTAAGTCTGAGTGTATGCGGGTATTTAGATTGTAAATGTTTCATCATGCCGAAAAGGACCTTGTGGCCGTGTTAGGGTAGTTGAATTGCCTGATTGGATTGCCTTTTATCGACATACCTCTCGAGCCCGCGGCTGAATGGGCTCTGGAAACTGCCGCTGTGGCAGTGTGCTTGAAAGTATGGTCAGGGATATATAATTATACGTTACGGTTTCATTCCCTACCTAGATTTGAGGGGTGGATGCCCGCCTGGTCTTATCGTCAGAGACCTGAGGTACTGAGGCCCAGTCCGGGGCAATGCAGAAGCATCTCGCAAGTCCTCGCCGCAGAGGTAGTTCAAAGCCGCTACGAGACGAAATTTATTCATTTTGAGCCAACCGCTGATTGTGGGTGCTGTTCGACCGGTTCCTATAATCGAAGTTAGCCCAGGGCCGACCCTTATTGAGCCCTCCCTCACCAGAGTCCACCCAGTTTCGATAATCATAGACTGCGCACATAGCTGTTGTCATAAGTATTGCCCCACAGGTCAATGTACTTATATTATTCTGAAGGGTTGAAAAGACTTCAATCCGTTTTGTGTTTGTAAATAGGCGTTGATCGAAGATACTAGCCATTGTGGTTATGTTGTACAATTGCGTAGAGCTGAGGCAACCCAGATGAATATCGGCCACCCTTTATGGCTCATTAAGAAATAGGCAGGTAGAATTCATGAAAAGAGCACTAACTGGGGGGCGCATGTAATGTATGCTTTACTTCGGTGTGACGTCACCAAGTCCGTAATAGTTTGTAGCAAAATGGCCGTTTACAGAATATTTTTCATGTCAATGAAGCCGGACGTACCAAAACAAAATAGAACCAATACCATCTGAAGATAGCCCAGTACTCGTTGTACAGTTGACAGAACCTTTACACTGCGCTTGTTTGCTTCATAAACAACGCAATGTCCGTAAACAAAACGTTAGACCAAGCCAAGAAGGGTACTAAAAAGTATGGTCAAGGTTTCGGTCATGACGCTTTTTGGATGCATTCTCTCTTTCTAAGCTTTACCTTTATCTCGGGAGCAACTGGGTGATAATTGTTGTGTAATTCCAGTGCTTGCGTAAGATTTTCACATATCCCCAAAACAGCATTCCAGTTGAATTTCTTCGTAGGGCAGCAAAGGCCTGCTCGAAATTTTCATATCTAACCTATGTCAGAGCCAGTGGATCCTACTATCACCCGCAAGCTATCGCAACTTGACCTAACAGTCCTATTCCGAGCTTCATGCGACCATTTATATCATATATGGGTCAAGACTTTTTATACGGCCAGAACTCTGTATATAGCCCCGGACTATTAGCGAAATACAGCAAGTAGTGGTACTTTCTAGCCGATGTCACCGTAAATTGATCGCTGTGGGAAGTGGTCACTCGCTATCTGATCTCACCTGCACCTCGAGCTAGATGATCAACCTTGAAGACTTCAATAGCCTAGCTTCTTACGAGACTAGGTAGGCCAATACCTATTCTAGAAGTAATACAGGACCTAGAGAACTTATAAAGCTAGGTATATATAAGAGAGGAAACTATATAATATATTCTACTACCTAGTAGTAGCGCGGCTATAGATAATCTTAATTAAATATTCTAAGCGATATTAAGTAGTAGTATATAATACCAATTTTTATTACTAAATTAGTATATATTTTGTATATATATAGTACTCGAGTTCAAGTAATATCTATTCTTAAATTAAATACGCGTTCAAGTCCTAGAATACGTATTTTTTAGAATCCCCCGGATGGATAAGGGCCAGGGTTACTTTCGGATTTAATGCAATGCATTGCGACCTTACGAGGTTGAAAGAGGAAAAAAGAAAAACACGTGGATGATAAACAACACAGGTCACTTCTAGTATAAATCTTGAAATAGGGCCTAATCAACCAGATCTAACATATGTAGTCCTACTTAAGGCTTTACGGAGACGTATAGTTTACCTAGATATGTGAAAAGAAACGGCGCCCATTTTCTAGCCGAAGCACGATAAATCTAAGGTCGCCTAAATTAGAGGGCAGAAGCAATATACTATTTTCCTCCTTACAGGCAACTCTTCTACCATATGAAATGTAGCACTATCCAGAGTAACCATGCAATATTCTGACTTTCCCTATTTGATTTACAGAAACCCCTTGTCAGGTTACGACAATTATGAATACACAATGCTTCATCGAGCCATAGTGGTGGCCGAAATAGAGTTTGTGGGGCTAGCCGCTCAAATCTGTGGCCGTTCAGGCTTCACTGTACCCTTCACCTTTGCGGTCTCCGTCTCACCCTCGCCCTTCTCACTCTTGCCGGGTTCGTTGGCATATGGGTTCACGGTATCAGCATTAGAGAGACCCTGCTGCTTGAATGACATACTTGTGGGACCTTTTGCAGAACCCATAGCTCGAGGCTATCCGAAAGTTAGAGAACTATTCGCCGGAGACCGTACAATGTCAAATGCTGGGAGTGTGTATCAAAGTTGAAATGGTCCGGATTAAGGCACAAGGTAAACAACGAACCTCATCATGAACAGAATTATTCGGGTCCGAATCTTGTCCCTTAACTGTCGGCTCGTCACCCTGGTTGCCCTCCGCATTTTGTGTATACTCTTGATTGGCTCCACGATGCTTGCCAACGGCGTTGTTACTAGAATTCTTCGTACCGCCCCTCTGCCATAGGTAGAATGATAGGGGAGCACCCAAGACAATAGATGCTAGTAACCTAATAAACAATATTGGTGTTTATAAGTCGTCCGTTGACAGGAAATCTAGGAAATGGGAGGGGGACTCACCATCGAGGGCTACTACCTTTTTGCCCACTCGGTCCAGTGGTGGTGAAAGATCTCTGAATAGCATTTGGCTGAGGCGAACAGATTCTAACCCGGGAAGATCGTGAAATCGCTGTGCGCAGAAATGGTTGATAAATGAAACCCATGATTCAAATTCGTAAAAATTGGAAGAATGTGCAGCGACGAAACTACTACCAGTGAATAGAAAATGTAAAAGAGCATTAAGTCTAATAAGCTAGAGTTAAATATAAGCCATAAAAATCTATTGGGCTTCGTTACATCATCCTGACTCCCCAGCTTGTTTTTTTTTCCAGCTTTTTATAAAGGGCAACAAATGTCATATGTCCGCTTTTAGCATGAGCCAACAAACTCGTTATGAAACCAGGTTTATTGATGACGCATCTTCCATAGATTGTAGAAACAGCTAGACAAAAGGGATCCCTCTAAGCCTGCAACCGGCATCTTTAGGAACCGAGAATTACTTCCCAAGTTGCATAATCTATGCAGTCTCCTCCAGGTCAACGTCTGAGCTTGTTTGTAATGTTTCAAATCTAATTGATATGTTACTACGGTGACAGCCTGTGGTTGACGTGCATAGATTGAACTCGCAATATCATAACCAATATAAATCGAGTAAACTCGCCCTAAAAATTACGAGACTCTTTATTCACTTCCAAAATACCAAACTCAATCCTCCCGAGCTTTCATTTCAAGAGCCTCAACTGCATTCCTCAAGTCAAAAACCTTCTGCCCGAACCTTTTTTCAACGTCCCCCATCATAGTATCGGAGATACTGCCCGCATCAAAGTTCGTCCTAACGATTGGACCCGGCAGTCCCGCCTCCGTTGCACCATCTCCCCCACTCATCTCAGTGCCTTTCTCGCCTGTCGTGTAAAGCTCATAAACAGTAACAAGCTGATCCAACGCATCACGCAAAGACTCCCGGTCAGACGCAGCAAAGATTGCTTGCTTACCGGTGGAATTAGACGCGGTTTCAAACAGATCTTTGGCTATTACGTAAAGCTCTTCTAGTTCTTCGATTAAGTTATCTGCTGTCGGTGTTTTGAGCGGGGTTGAGTGGGAGTATGCGCGGAGTTGAAGTTGGCGTTGAGCGGCTTTAGCCGTTTTTTGAATGTAATTTATCTTCAACGCGCTTGGTTGAAATGGTAAACCGCTGCCGTTACGGCTAATATTCGATGCAATGCTGTGCGCGATCCGTGGAGTTGCCAAATTGCGAGACCGTTTTATAGGGAGGTATTGGAGACCGTGTCGGAAAGGGGGGCCAATGCGGAGCGAGGATGCCATTTCTTTGTGTGTCGTGACAATTGAGAAAGCACTGGCGAAGGGTGTGGGATGCAGATTAGGTTATTCTCTTGTTTCTCGTAATGTACTTTGTTCAGCAAGTTGGCAGAGGAAATCTCCGGTGCAGCCACCTTCGAGCCGATGACGTATATTTCACGTGCTGATTAAGGGAGTGTACATCTTTAAATAACTAGTTAACTAAACCGTATTTCATAAGCGAGTGACGCACCTAGTATAAATTAAAGCGAGAATTTATACAGATTTCAGCTCTATGAAGCCGAGTCCAGAAGATTAATTCGGGGATATCAAACTAGCGTGCTACCTCGCGAATAGCGCTACTATACATATCGGTATTCCGATCTAATCCTTGATCTAGGATACGCGTTAGTTAATAAACCCTAGTAGGATTTGTTAGATTATGCTCGGTAGCGAACCGTTATCGGAGGTTACGAAGTAAGTTATATAGTCTTATAATCTATTCCGAATAGCTATTACTTCTACGTTTAATTCCTTCTATTAAGTATAGGCTACGTTATTACTAGCCTATTCTATGTACAGTATCTTTAGTATATCGAACTACTGATCTTTATATCTTTTTATTCTACTTCTTTATTTAAGATAACCTTCTTTAGTACTATAGGCGGCGCTAGTTTCTCTTCCTTTCTGGGATTATATAGCTCCTATAAATTGAATTATATAGCAATTAATTCGATATTAGCTAATTATATACCCTATATCGTTATATCCTTTAGTATAACGCGAGAGGATATACCCGCGGAGAGGTTTTTAGTTATATTAGTACATATTCCTTATCCTTTGTAGATAGATTTCGATTCTTGATTTTAGGGGTTAGTTTAGGGGTTACTTCGGTGACGGTTTAATAGAACGATTCCGGGCTTATAACTGATAGAAAGCTAGGAACTATATGAACAATATATAGTATAAATGACCAATATTAATAACTCTAACTAAAATGACAAAACCCGCTATTTTAACAATCTATGCGGACCTCGATAACTAACTATAATATACACTTTTGTATGATGTGCCTGGTACCCCATGTCAATGATTTTCCCTGGTATAAATACCTGGTTTCTACCGTGTATTCGGACTTGGTATTCGACAATGATCCTTATACTTATGTACATTACAGTCATCAACGGAAAGCCACATATCATTCTGTCACTATGTGTTGCGAGAACTTGTTTTCCCTTATGATATGGTTATGATGCCGTGGGTCACAACACCTCCGAATAAATGGTCAAATGATGCCACCATAGGGACCTTAAGCAAATACGATAGGGCATCTGTCCTAGTTTCCAAGTCGAGATTGGTCGTATGCCAAGAAAAAATGTCAACCGGGCGGCTAAGGTGGCTTCAAGACCTTAGGTTACCGTCTGGACCCGGGGAAGCGTTCTAGAGTATATGTTTTTGGCTGTAAGCGAGGATGAGCAAGATATATTGAGTCACTTTGACATTAGTTCAATACCTATCTTGTTGATTATGTTGACGGCAATAGACGGTGAGAACTAAAGGTGATTAATACTGAGTGCTACCAGCGGCATTCCGCGACTTTGTGGCTATGGTTGCCAAATAGCTGAAGACCTTTGCGAACAAGTCTGCGGGTCTCTTTAATAGCATGAACGCTTCTACGGGTCAAGTTTTACTCCATATAAACTGACTTAAAATGTTGTTTACGTATCCAAAGAACATGAATATCTACGAATACAAAAGAGCACACTCTATCGAAACTTTAATGCTGCGATTAGAAGATATTCAGCGGTTTTTGTAATTATGGGAGAGCAAGGCAATTCGGTTCAGTGTCCCGTACAACTATAAAACTTAATAGACATACAATAATCACAAATCACTTAAACTTCGGGGAGATCATTTTCGTCTGGCCCCTCGTTACTTGTTCGCCCCAGGCTTTGCATGACGGAGACGGTCTCCTTTCAAAATATTGGACTTATAGATCGCTTAGTTTTCGTCCTCCTCTAGAGCCTGTTAGTCGTCTGCCTAATTACTGTAGAATTGGCAACGTAAAGAAGCATGGACATACCAAGTTGCTGATCAGAATTGGAATAAGGAGGTTGCATTCTTCATGAATGAATATCAATTCAGAAGAACCTTTGAGGTTGACCAGCTATAGTAAGGGGGTATCAATGCCAGGTTGCTGATCTCATGTCTAGTTCAAGACCGACCAGAACTTTGCGTAGTGGCACATCCACGTCACTATGACTTGGTTACAGATTGTTCTGGTAAAAGGTTTAGAACCTTTAGAACGGATTCGAGATCATTGACATTTGGCGGGATGTGGCGTCAACTAAGATCTGCCAACTCGCGCCATTCGTTATGTCAATTTACTAATTGACAAATCTAAGGCTGGTTAGTACATAATCGCAGGCCAAGTAGCTCGGTTTGAATCATTCTGTCTCTTTGTAACCGGTATTTCAATATTACTAGAGCAATGTTCCCCGGTACTAATGACCCGTCATCATGATGCTTATCAATAACCTCTCATTTGACTGGTGCATCTGCTTGAGCCGCCATGTGATCTGTAAAATTTTCACCACGACACGATGAATTCTTGTATTCGTTTCCAAGCTTTTTGTGCTATAGCGAATAGCAATTCAGTCATAGTCATGTCATAAGTAGGTCTGATTCTAGGAATTGGTGCATTTTATTGGCTATAAAAGCAAAGCTCCTTCAGCATATTGTACAATTAGAGGCCCGCTCTATCATTATGTCTTTTATTTCTCATAACCTCAGAACATCCAGTATCCACCGCCTCGTATTACCTACTTCAAGACGTACATTTGCAATATCATCCATTGCCATGACGTCCACCATCAGCGACGCGATCAAGAAAGATCATCGAGAGATAGAGTCGTATTACGAAAATATCATCAATACCTCAGATGAGACCGAGCAGACGAGATGGCAGAACCAGTTTACATGGGAACTGGCACGGCACTCTATTGGAGAGGAGCTTGTCGTGTATCCGGCCTTTGAGAAGTACGTATCAGGCGGCGTGGACCTAGCCAACAAAGATCGCCAAGAGCATCAATCGGTCGGTATACATGCTAATTATCTTAATAAAATGCCTAACTTTTGATGGATTTAGGTCAAAGAGCAACTGAAGAAGTTCCAGAATTTGAAGCCTTCAGATTCTCAATTCACTCCTACCCTCAAGGCTCTGATGAATGATCTGTCTCAGCATATCAAGGAAGAAGAGACGGACGACTTGCCGAAGCTGGAAGAAGTTGTCTCACAAGAGGACAGTGAGAAATACGCAACGTCTTTTGGAAGAACAAAGATGTTCGTCCCATCTCGTTCTCATCCCAGCGCCCCAGACAAGCCACCGTACGAGACGGTTGTTGGCCTTTTGGCAGCACCGATTGACCATCTTTCCGACATCTTCCGCAAGTGGCCTCATACCTCGGGAATGCCTAATCCATCTACTAAATAGAGCGGCACGAGCAGTGTCGATTGCTTGTACTCGCTATAACAGGCCCTTTCTTATAGTTTGTCAATGAATTGAACGAGTCACAGATGCTGTTTATGTGATGATGCTTTGGTGGGACAAACAATTATTTGCGTTTTCTTTTTCACTCTTACCAAAATTTTCAATAACCTCTACTTAAGTATGTACTTGTTCATCATCGACCAATATGGAGTGGTGTCAATTCCAAGTTCGAACTCCGGCTTATGATGTAAGAACTCACTCATTCCCACAATACTTCCTAATTCCCCCTAAGAAGATTATTGTAATCATTTGTTTGCAATTACAGGAAAGTTCGTGGAAAATTGCATGGGTTTGCTTTCATTATTATTACCATCAAAGGGCTGTATTAAACGTATGCCACGGAAGAGATCTGGCGGCACGGAGAAAACCAGAGTATCATCAACCAACTAATGAGGTACATGATATATCACTTCATATTGCCAATTTAACGCATTTTGTACACAGAGCGTCAGTTTAGCTCCTATATACCCGTGGCATTCGTAGAGTATTGGGGTGAATTTACATGTAATATACTTAGGGAGACTAAGCGAACGAAAAACAATGGTACCAAATTCGGTACCAGGTCACTAACGGTTTACCCTAAAATCTCACGAGTCGAGTATATTTTTTGTTGTCCATCCCGGTAAGGTGTCTGGACCTCCGAGCTTTCGCTTCATAAAACTATGAACTTCAGTTAGACAGGTTGACTCCCCGCCACTTGTATTCATGGGTTCGGCATTATTAGCTGCTAAATTCACACATTCTAAGCACTTGTGCTCGGCGCGCCCCTTCTGGTCTTCCAGTCCAAGGAAGTTGCCAATCAAGGATCCCTATACCATATACTTTGTGGCTCGGAGGGGGCTTTGGAGATTGGGTATATATCAACTGATGGCCAGACCAAGATATATGCCAGTTGCATAATGAATCCCTATTCAGGTGTTTTATATACGCCGAGACTTACCTACATCTTATGCAATAACGGTTTTTCATGGGAGCCCGGCCGAATGGGAACCTAATGCGGTTTATGGTTTAGGGGTTGTAGTGAGGCTTTGCCCCCAATTGCGGTTTTTGGCGGCTTCTAATACAAGTTTATAGTAAAATCCGAGAACAGTTTTCACTCGGAATAAATATATCCTTTTTCTCTCGCGAGGTCGCGTAAAATGTGTTAATTCGCGCTGAATATGCCATCCCGTGCGAACTCACTAAGTTAACGTATCCATATACCTTAATATCTAGGGTTGAACCAGGCTAAGACACAGCATAGGTACTTCTTAAAATTGTTTCTATCGGCTATCTTCAACCAGTATTTCCGGAGAACGTCATATATAAAACATATTTACCTCACTTCTGCTTCCCGTCAAGATCAGAAAACAATTCATAACCAAAGTCTTTGCTCGAGTCATTGAACCGAATCTTCTTGTCAATCGAGTCGATCTTTTCAATATCTTCGGATTCCAATTTGAAGGCGATATCAAAGTTTTGTGTGATCCGCTCTGGCGACTTTGATTTCGGGATGACGGAACGGCCATGTGCGATACCCCAGGCTACGAAAAGTTAATTAGATTTATAATTATTAACTCGGGCAGGTAAGGGGTATAAATACCTAAGGCGACTTGGTTCGAAGTCTTTCCGTACTTCTTCCCGATCTCGACCAAAGTCTCATCATTAACCAGCTGACCATGTGCCTCGCGGGAACCATAGATTTCATTCTGGTTGCCGAATGGCGAATACTGTGTCACATGAATGCCATGCTTCTGGTGGAAGTCGAAGAAATCCTTTTGTTGAAGCCAGGGATGTAGCTCCATCTGGTGCACTGCTGGTTTAATCGTCGCATTGGCAAGAAGACGCTCAACTTCCTGCCGGGAGAAATTAGAAACCCCAATAGCTTTAGCTTTACCGGATTTGACCAGGGCTTCCATTGCTTTATAGGTCTTTGTTTAGTTAGCAGGCAGCCTTGCTGTATAGCTTTGAGACAGGACTTACATCGACGTAATCAATTCCTTCGGTTATCAGATTGCCGTCTTTATCAGAAGGGAATGGATCATCCCCTCGTTTGAAAGAAACAGGCCAGTGCATCAGGAATAGATCAAGGTAGTCCAGATCCAGATCATCCAAGCTATCCTGTAATGCGGGACCAACATCATCAGGATGGTGTTTGTTGTTCCACAGTTTGCTGGTAACAAAGATCTCGCTCCTAGGTATGCCACTTTCCTTTATGGCTTTTCCGACAGCAGGCTCAGTGCCATAGCTATAGGGGTCAACCTAGTTATTCATGTCATACGGTCGAAAACCTTACCATCTTGCCGTATCAATATGGCGATACCCTGCCTGGAGGGCTACAAGAACCGCTGCCTCCTGGGCAGCCTCATCTTGCCAGGTTCCCAGGCCAATGGCAGGGATCTGAGCACCAGTAGAGAGTTTGAAGGTTTTTTGGGCGTTGGAGGCCATTGTCCTACTTTAGATGGGTCGAAAAAATTGAAGTAAACCTCAAGATAAGCTTTCATTGTCAGCTTTATGGACAAACTCTCCAGCTCTTGTGCCCACATTGACGTTATTATGACAGCACTGGAATGACATCACCCTATTTATGTCCTATCGACTTGGGAAGGTTACATTACATCTTATGTTTTTGGAACCCAGTTAAATTCTAGACACCAATAAATAAATAGACTATAAATGTAATACTAGGTGGTCCCTTTGTTCGTCGACTTGCAAGTATTTGCCACTATTTTCCCATATATACAAATCAAATTTAAATTACACCTCTCCTCTGCGCCCTCCTGCCCAATCAGCCCCCATCTGTACTAGTAATATAAGTTCGACGGTCTCTTGAGGAGGTGCAGTTTTCTAATCCTCGTTTAACCGAAAATAACGGAGTGAGCGTAGATGATGTTCGAGCTATTCGTCTGTAGATTAGGACATGGAAATTCCGACAAAAGGAATGCTCGTAATAGCCGGGCCTTATGAAATAAAAGCTAACACTTGAGCTTGTACTTGATGAACAGAATACGAACCTTACTAACTTACCATGTGGCATTCTCGTACTCGACAAGTATAAATCTCGATCGAAGCATGTAGGAATGGCAATTGAATGTCCTTGGGAACCACTCCCCACAGTATTCACGAATATCCGACGATGACGTTATATTATGGGAGTTCTTCGGAGAGGTATGACTCTCGTTTTGTCCACGACCGTCAATTACTAACTAGCATGTGGTAGAGGGCAGAAACCCCCTAGACTTCTCGGACAATCATCTATCTCCCTTGCCTTGTAACTCATAGTCCGGTCAGCGATTCTAGATGTGAAAGCGTGGGTCGTATTCCAGGCATTTAGTGACATTGGAAAGAGAGTCGTTTCTAAGCGTTCCAAGGTCCCATCCACCTTGTAAGCCCACACTAAAAACAACCGCTATCATTGGTCGGGAGAAATTGCCGCTTTCGGTGGAGTAAAGCCGGATTTGGTTGCCCAGAAGCAGGTTTAAGATCTTGCTAACTAATGACTTTTTGGATCTGTCGTCGCTACGTTGAATTAAATAGTCTACGTCGCCCATCCAGAACTCCAATTATGATTGTAAAGCGAAAGATAAAAAGACATTCAATACTATCCAAGGCCAAGCCGTCGGCGAAAGCATAAACATAATACGAGTTGGGTGATATAGCTCAATTGTACATTGCAACAACACGTATAATATATCTCCTTGATTTGAATATCTCGCGTCTCTTATCACATCCTATCGTGTTAGAAAGACACCTCCGCGTTTCGGAAAAAATGCAAGTCCACGTTATGATTAACCTGTGAGACAAAGCGAGGCATCTTAGCGCTAATTATTCCCCACAGGCTCTTAACAACTGCTTTTATTTCCGTGAAGGAATGGTTTTGCGGTGCAACATACATCCAATCTGACCATGAAAACCGGCAAGCGATTGATGGAAATATGCCGCCGAGCTTTCAACCTTCCGATGGCGGATCTGATCAAATGACTCCCCGCATGAGCACTATATCATGCAAGTGCTGCCGAGAGGGCAATGCACAATGCGATAGGCTGATCCCTAACTGCTCATATTGCCTGCGTGAGCAGCTGCTTTGTTTCTATATTGAGCCTGAACATAGTAGGAAATACTGTGGTCGCTGAACTTACATGGTTGATGGCTGTCGTGCCTTATATTGAACGGTTGGAACGGTTGAGAGAAATACATCAAAATTCAATAGGTTGCCTTGGGCGGGGAGCTCGCTTGTTAAAAACGTTACGAACCATAACGCCATTGAATTAAGGGTATGATCGAATACTAAGTCGAGTACTTGGTTGGAACAAGGGTATTTTACCCAAAAAATTATATGACACTTGGTACTAGGTGTCGAGAAATATATATAGATAGACAAATTAGTGGAATTAATTGAATACGTTTTTGATTGTGATATATGCATTTAAAATTGGCAGGTTCGGATAGGTGGCCCACTCGCTAGCGAAATACGTTAGCGGGCTTTGTCATTTTAGTTAAAGAGTTGTCAACAACGGTCATGTATACCATACATTGTTCGCACACCAGCTTTCTGTCAATATTCTCTAGTAGGTAATGCGGTTTTCAAATTTCGATTTCGATTTCGATACTGGCGTAATGAGAGCGTAAAACCGTAAACAGAATAGACATTGCACAAGTGCGTCAGGTAGAAGTTAGAAAATATAAGTGATATACCTTTTAAACGATAGGTGCACCCCAAGTGCTCCGCTTGACTTTCATTATAACAGCATGCTCATTCGAGATATTTGTTTCGGTTTCTTTGAAAAAACCGATACTACGTAGAGATGAAAGGAGCCTAGTTGGTAGGTAAGTATCAAAACAGCCGACCTGGATGTTAAAACCAAGTAGCCTCAGGAAACGAACCTTTCATTATCTGCGCGGACTTCCACAAAAACTGCGTAGGTCCTTTGATCAGACAACCAACAATAGTGGACCACGGAGCTTAAAAAGAGCGCCAAGGTCTTCGGGTCGTTGAAATCGTCGTCCCCAATGAAAAAACGAGTTCCCCGATCCCAGTCCCCAACATCGCCCACTGATAGCCCAAGATGGTCCTCAAGGATCCAGAATATTTCAAAGTAGCCAACTGCCATAGAATCCCAACACGCGAGCGCAGGAAATGATGATTTGCTCGACATGCGAATTTTGAGGTCTTCCAGCTGGACGTCTAGCGAGCCTTTTCGTAGTAAGCTCGTGTGGGTAGAATATTGATTGACCCATCGATGGAAGAGTTTCAGGTCACTCATGAGTTCCGAGTCAAGGCAGAGATTCGGTCCAGTCCAACTGCTTGGTAACTCGGTAGTAGATGGTGCCCTTAGCGAACCTTTGATCGGGACGACAGGTACGCGAAATGTCAAATATTCACCGCCACTAGGAACATATCTAGTATAAAAGACTTCGCCTTGTCTCGGAGCCCTAGGGCGAATTGGGTGCCGAACGTGGTCAGTAAACGTATACTGTGGAGGTATCGGTGGGTAGTACGAAGGCATGAACGTTCCAGAGGTGTGGGGGCCAGCTCCAAACGGAAATCCTACCCCAAAAGAATCCAATGATGACAAAGTGTCTGAACATTTGACTTTGGCAGAACCCTGCGCAGGGCTCAGTGTAAAAAGATAGATTCTCGGATCCAATTGCCAAAAAGCTCGTTGACTGATGAACATATCGCTAAAGGCTTGAGGATCGTCTTGGGAACCGACCGAAGGATCGGCAGTCGCGAGTAGGCCCATTCTTTCAAGTTTTTGCATCCTGTCCTTTCCTTGCAAAATGCCATCATTACTCAGTTTCAGCACCCACTCGCCCGTGGCACGGGCGAGTTCTGGCAATTCATTTTCACCGTATACTGGAACATGAGGACTTGGCGCGTGTTCTTGAAAATACCAAAGAAATGTAGCCCACAATATCATAGCGACTTGTCTAGTGATAGCACTCTCAGGCTTCACGTCTCCTGCCGATGGCATAGAGATAGATGAAAGGTGCAACACATCTGTCTGCAAAGTAGGTGCAGTGAACTGAGAGGAGGATTGGCTGCAAGGAGATGGCTGATTGTCGGCTAGAGAAGCTTTGCCTTCAGCTGCGGCCTCTGTGCAGAGAATTATCCGCCACTCGGGAGGAAATGAACCATACAGATTATGGTCGGCGACAGTGAACTTGAAGCCTTCGAACGAGGGACGGACGTCGATCCGCTGTCCGTTAGGCATGAAGAGTCGATTGTACTTCATCGTATCAAGGAAATCCCAAATGCCTAGGAATATCGGTTTAAGGTCTGCAAACTCGCGGCGCTTGACTGACAATCTTGATGACGAGACGGCTGCGTCAGAATAGATTGCCACATGACCAGGTGACTTCCACTGCTGGGATAGGCAACCCGCAGGTGTAACGGAACTGGTGATTAGGGTAGGCTTGCAAAACGCGCCCATTCACTTTTTTGGGATATTTATGTTAATTTATTGCTTCATGCAAATTATTTTCGTCGTTGAATATCAAGAATATCAAGAGATAACCCGCCTACTGTGGTCAGTTGTCGACGAAGATGGGGATATTAAAATACCCTGTTCCCACCATGTACTCGGCTCAGTATTCGATACTAAGCATACACTGAGTGCTCACTGAGTAATCACTGTAATCACTGTAATCACTCTGTGAGCAGGACCCTGAGCGCCCTCAATAAAGTGGCGGCATTCCGATCGGGAAAATCCCGACCGCGGCCTAAAATCCGGTATATACCGTAACAATTTGGAGGTATAACTGCAAATGGAGGCGGTCAATGCTTGTCCTCGATGTGGATCTCGTGACTGGACTGGACGTTCTCTCCGCATTTCCCTCCCACTTCATGTCTAGACTGCAATCCTCGACTATTATTCTTCGGACTTGGATCTAAGAGCAAAAGAGACTTGAAAATCATCATGGCAGCAGAGCTGACGTCCACCAAGCTCAATCCAGAGAGTCACATCATTCTGGTAACAATTACTCCGCACCTCCGTGATGAAGCGGGTCCTAATTGAGGTGCTTACGCAGGACCAACCACTTCTTCGACTACCACATGAACTTGCCCGCAGGAATTTTAAAACCGTTCAACGAGTCGTCGAGCGAGAAAAAGAATATGTTATCCCCGCACTCAAAGAGACCGCGTCCGCCTCACTCTCCAACACCCAAACGCCCGATCAGACTCTCGCTGCACTCGACGCAATGATATCCAGAATGCAAGGTCTCAAAAGGAAAATGGAAAGTCTACAGGAGGAGGAGAAGAAAATCCACAACCAATCTCGCAAGCGCATTCAGCACTTGGAGACCCTGCACAAGATCCCGAGTCTAGCCGATGTCAAGTACGACCAGTGGTCAAGGGTACGGCTGGACCGCTTACTCGTTGACCACATGCTGCGCTCAGGTTACTCTGAAAGTGCAAAGCAGCTGGCCCAGGATAGGGGAGTGGAGGATCTCGTGGATCTCGGTGTATTCACGCAGTGTCAACGGGTTGTGGATAGCTTGCGGCGCGGGGAAACCAAGGAGGCATTGCAGTGGTGCGGAGAGAATAAGGCTGCACTGAAGAAGAGCCAGGTACGCTGAAACCAACTTATGCTGTCTTGAATCCCAGCTAATTCAACATCCATAAAGCATAATCTTGAATTCGAACTCCGGTTGCAGCAATATATCGAGATGGTCAGGACACAAGACAAGTCCAAGAAGCTCGAGGCAATAATTCATGCGAAGAAATACCTCATACCTAACCACCAATCTCAGAATTCTGAGATTATGCGCGCCGCAGGATTACTGGTTTTCACACAAGACACAAGAGCCGAGCCTTACAAAGTAAGATAAACATTCATTTTTGATTAGTAGAGTTTCTACTGACGCAGTACAGTCTCTTTTTGCGCTGAGCCGCTGGAAGTATCTCGCACAGCTTTTCATTCAGACTCACCATGAGCTACTTTCATTACCATCACAACCATTATTACATATTGCACTTTCTGCAGGACTCTCCGCTCTCAAAACACCTCTATGCCATTCAGCATTTACATCATCTAGCTCAAACTCACAGTCAACGTCGACATCTGTCTGTCCTATCTGCTCAACTGAACTGAATGAGCTTGCACGCAAAATGCCATACGCCCACCACTCAAAGAGTTACGTGGAAAGCGACCCGATAGTTCTACCAAACGGCCGAGTCTACGGGAAGCAAAGGCTAATCGAGATCAGCAGGAAGATGGGATCAGTGGAACCAGGCAACGTCAAAGACCCAACGACAGGAGAGATTTTCCAAGAGAGCGAGATGAAGAAAGTGTACATAATGTGAACTCGGGCAGAAGGATGAAGCAAGCTAAGCTACAACTCAGTTTATATAGTTCTATCCTTAAGCATGATAGTATACATTTCAGCCTTTACTCGGTATCACTAGAATCATCATCATCTCTGCTCCTCTTCTTCCCTCCCTTTTTGGTTGGCTCCTTCTGCTTCACTTCAAAGACATACATCCGAGCCTCCCGATCCTCCCCTCTCCATCCTCCGCGCTCCCCATCCTTCCCTTCAATATGTCCCGCCGTTCTCGCATGCGAATACCCCTCATAAGACGTCCAAGGAAATCGGAAACTAGTCACAACCACCAGTCCTGCATGTCTCGCCAAATCCCTAATATTCCAAAGCGTATACGGCTCCCCCTCAAACAGAGTGACAAGAATCTGACCAGGCCCAACCCGGAACCCCTTCCCGGTAGTATCATCGTCTTTCCCGAGCTCCTCACCCTCTCCTCCTCCATCATCCTCATCCTCATCTTCCTCTTCACTCTCCTCCCCATCAGCATACACCCACTCATCATCATCAGCATCCATAAGCGGCGGCGGCTTCGAAACAAGAGGAACACAAGCCTTAAAGAACGCAACTAGAAGCTCCTGATTCGCTCGAACCTGTCGGTTCACGTCCGTAGAGAGTCCGCCCACATGCGGGAAATTGAAACAGATCACATCCCACGGCCCGCCGGGCTGGTACGGTGGTCCTGCTGGCTCGTTCTGCTGGTACCACGCTGGTCTCTTGCGCTCGCGGCGGGCGAATCCTGTGCGGAGTTCCTTGCCGCCGCCTGCTGGAGTGCCGAGTTTGCGCGCGTCCACGGAGAAGATGACTTTAGGGCTTTGCTGGTTGGGGTTGAGGTTGGTTGAGTTTTGATCTTCGGATTTTCTCTCTTCTGGCTGCTCTTCGGTCTCGCTGCTTGCTGGTTTTGGCTTTGATGATGCGCTCAGGATATCTGAGATGTTCTGAGGAGTTTGCGGGTACTTGTTGTACAGCGCTTCCTTGGAATCGTAGCATGTGGCGCATAGGTTGCGGCACTTGTATTGCTTTGCCAGAGAACGGGCGAATGAGAAGTCACCTGGTTGGTGTTAGAATTTATGCTTTCCAGATATAGTAGACAAATTGGGGTTGAAGGATGTTGCATGTTCTTGTTATTATACAAGAATGCATGTTGGTTCAATCGCACATGTCAAAGTGAAACCGCAGCTCTAGACATGAACTCCGCGAGAAAATATGTGCATCGAAATTGATTGCAACACAAATTCTTGCATAAAGTGAAGAACGCAGAGGCATTATGTAAATTAAAATAGAAGGAAAAACTCACCTTCACCAATCAAGAGGATGCGATCCTTCCTCAGAAATGGCACGATAGGTCTCTGGTTTGCTTGAATAGAAGCTTTCTTAGGTGCATTGGCATTGCCATTACCCTGCTTTTGCCCATTGCCATGCTGCTGTCCTTTGGCAGGGTTGGAAGATGGGCCGGATGGTTTGCCTGGCCCGCGAGGACGTGGCGGAGGGGCACTTTTGGCCTTTTTATTATTGCGAGGCATGGTTGAAGGGAAAAGGAAGTGAGTTCTCTTTCAAAAAGTCGTATGAAATTGTATGAATTGAATATGGAGCCGTCACTGCTGGGGTCTGCGGCTGGAAGATGAGGCGGAAGAAAATTGACCCGGATAATCCAATATCCGAAGTATACAATGTCCTCGTCTTCACTTTTCTTTATCCTACTATTTTCAAATTCCTCCCACTCGTGAGCTTTTAGCTTGCACTTATTTCCTTCAGAAGCTATCTGAAATGAAGTATACCGAGAAAATAATCTGAAATCTGGTTCTAGCGCCGTGGAAACACTAGAAACGAGAGTAGGATATCCTACCGTGTGATCGAAGCCCCAGAGACCGATTGAAGAGGAATTACATTGAGTTAAGTGCCATAGAAAACTAGTATTATCTTTGTCTAGGGCAGCTGTGTCCATCTGAAAGACCCTCTTGGTCCCGATCGAGTGCTCGCAAAGATAAGCAGTATTTTTCCAGTGTTTAACCTCGCCATTGCCTCTACCAGTCCAAGCCCACTAAATGAGGGAAATGATATTGACCCAGAGGTCCCTGGTAGTCTATAATATCATAGCATTAGTACAAACTAATCAAACATAAGTGGAGAAGAACCAACCCAATGCAGTTTCTTGATCTTTGGCGAACAATAAGCACATGCCCGGGACCATCGAGATTGCATGACCAGCACCATTTGAGACACTCTCGCTGGTTGGGTATTGCGATTAGCCTGACTATCATCCCTTCAGGAAATCACCCAGTCTAGCAATGCGAAAAAGGTAAGCTTTGGATATGGGTAGCCCACAGTCCATTGCCGCCACAACCTGGATATCTGCTAAGTGCACGACCCACACAATAATATTCTAGGTGGGAAAGGAGATCATGTCTCACCGAGTATCTTCCATGGTCGTAGGAAATAGCTCAGGATTCCTAACAATTCACGCAAATGGGCTTAAATTTCCCTTTCCCCTCTTCGCCTTGGTCTCTCTACACTTGGTGTAAATCACAAACAGCTTTCTCCGTATAGTTGGTCAAGCTTGTTGTACTACAACCAGGATTTGGCCATTCGCGCAAACACCCCAACTGCACCACAAAGCTTTTGTCAGGATCCAAGCTGCCAGAAATTGCCGAACCAGAGCGATAACTTCCGGAAGCGCATTCTGATATTGGGTCTAGGCAACACAATACCCGCGGTCATTATTTTCCCACCTGTAAAACGCCTGTAGTTGGTTCCGGGATTTATGCGGTGGGAATTGGACGTGTAATGAAAAGCCAGGCTAGGAGCAGAAGAAGGCACTAAGAGGAGGTATGACCATCCCTGGAGCAAGGTGGACTAGCTGTAGGATAGATTTTTGGTGTCACCACCTGTCCCTATGGTTTATAAAGATGGATTAGAATGTCCAAGATGCTCTGATGCATTTTGGAGATGGGTGAGGAAATTTGACGTGGGAACTGGTTCTGGTAGCAAGGCGAAAGGGAAGAGAGAGATGATGGTAGGAGGGATATGTGAGAAGACAAATTGAGATTTTATACTGAACTTTGGTAACTCGTGACAACAAACAAGGAACTTCCAAATTTGGAAACAACGACTGTCTTGTCGACAAACCCCCCAGAGGTGCCCGGCAACTTCTAAGTACAAGACCTTGGAAAATATAGAAACCAGAAAGATAAATCATATTAGTTATCGAAAGACACGTTCTATTAGAGAGAAAAGAACAGATCGCGGCATAGCTATATACATCAAAACAAAACAGGCAAGGATAAATGCTATAGCCGCATGTCAAAACAAGGGGAGAATTACTAAATCATACTGTAGACCAAAAGCAGGGGGGCCGGGAGAAACCGCCAAAAAAACACGAAGCAGTTTCCCTTCCATAAATGTAAGGCGAGGGGAGGGGGGAAATAACAGAAAAGAAGAGAAAGAGATCAAACACCAACACCGACCAAAGTGATCGCAGGATTTTCCCCATCAGACCAGACAAGACCCTTGAATTCGGCTGCAATGAAACGTGAATCATAATGTCACATGCAAAGGAGTACCGTAGACGCGGTTGACTTTTTTGATATGCACTGACCAGTCAGATGCATATTGTCATTCCAAGCCTTTTAAGAGCGCAACGAGTCTCTCATGCTCTGGCTGCTGGCACTGACTGGTGTAGGGAGAACACCGGTGCGGGGCTTGGAGTTCTGCTTGATCTTGGCCACGGCGTAGACAATACCGCTGACGAAGCCAACAGCGATGGCGGAAACACTGGGGAAAGTGACTGGTGCATCGAAGAAGATGAGACCGGACACGGCAATGGGTAGCTTGTTGAGAGCGCCAACCATGGAGTATGTGGTGGAGGAGGTAGTGCGGACACACCATGCGGATGTGTACGAGATGAAGACAGAGGAAGCACCGGACAGAACCATGGCAAAGAAGATACCGTCACGATTGCTCTCGGGGAAGTTGCGGGCGAGGTTAGCGGATGACCAGTCCTCGACCAGCAGGGTGAGAACAATCAAAACGGGGATCGACAGGAGATTGTTGTAGAACATGGCTGGAGAGAAAGTCAAATTAGTAAACATTTTGAAACAAGGCTGGAAAGAACCACATACTGTCGAAATCCTTGAAGTTGGTCAGCTTGATGCGCTTGCGCATGCCCAGGACATAGGACGAGGTGCACAGGCAGTTGATCAACATCCAGACGTATCCAGCGTTCAGGGTGGAGACCTTGCTGGAGGTGTCACCGGTGCTCTCCACAGCATGCTTGATATCAGCCCAGGCCGCAATGAGCGAGCTGAAAACCATCAGACCGAAGGAGAACAGAGTGAGGTTAGTGACCGAGCCACCGAACCAGAGAACCTCTCCATAGGCGATCAGGATAATGGTCAAGTTCTTGAAGATAGTGTAAACGGGGATTGAAAGGAACTGAAGAGCCTTGGAGCCAGTGTAGATCATGCCGATCAGTAGGAGCGTAATCGGGAACCCTGATATGGAATCTTGTCAGCTGCCACATCTCTCGGCTTGTAATAATCGAAGTACATACACTTTCTGGCCTCATCGGTGTTGAAATCACGGTAGGTGATAAGACCCATGGACTTGCATGTTTGAATTGCAACAATGCAGACCAAAGACTGGCGATATTAGCAATTCGCCTTGGATCAAGAACTGAAAAAGCCACCACATACCTGGACACAGAGCAAGAGGAAGTTCAGATTGAAATCCAAACCCGACAGAACATACTTGTTCATCACGGTCATCATAATCGACGAACCGCAGTATGCCAAAACGGGAAGAGCGGGGTTGTTGGAGATGCTCGGACTGGCGCGGAGCGAGGGAGTCGGCGGCGGCGCAGCCTCGAACTCCTTGTTCCCTTGGTCGAGCTTGTTCATTTCGACGGTGTAGTCGTCGGATTTCTTGTCTTCGGCCATGTTGAGTGAGTGGTCGCGGATAGGGGCGTTATCGGCTGTTCTGTTGAAAGGGGGAGGGACCGAAATGACAGATGGCACCCAGAATATATCCAGGGGAGTCGAGGAACAAAAGGAGGTTGTTCGAGAAGGTGACCAAGTAGAAAAAAAAAAACCGCCAAAGGAGATTTGACAACAACAGATTTCGCGGCCGGAAACAGGAACGTCGTTACCTAAGCAGGGCAGTTAGGGGGTGCTGAGTCAGGATTTTTATTTATAGAGTGAAACATCGGATGCACTATTGGAATACAATATACGGAGTATATTAGCAGTCAATTGATACAACATACTTGTTGGTTAGGGCATGGAAATACTCAATTAGGACAATTGACAGTACACATATGTAGCTGGTAGTCGTACGTTTATACTTATGTAGTATGGGTATATGCATAAGCGTGAATTATTCCAAGGTTCTATGAGGCTAAAGAATATGCACAAAATTGTCCCACTAACCAAAAGAACAAGAAATAAAGAAACTCATACCTCACTCCAATTTTAGACTATCAAAAAAACCAGAAACCAAATCCATAAAGCTGTTCACGCGTAGACGACTCCGTACCGAGTCCATATACCAGTGGAGCTCCCGACTTTCCAACTTCAACCCTCCTAACCACACACTCCTTCGAAAATCCCAATCCACACCTTTACATTGGGAAATAGGACTCAAAAGCAAGCCCAAACAGAACAACTCATCTCAATCCCACCCAAAAAAAAAGACAAGAAAAGAAAAACAACCCAATCTCAAATCTACGAACTACCCCCGCACCTCCCCCAAAATGCCCGACTCAGACGACGAAGCCCTCTTCGCTGCCCTCGAAAACGAAGATGACACCCTCTATCGCGACCAACGCATCCACCAACTAAACGCCGAGCTCGCAGCCACAAAAAACAACCACTCCGCACGCGCAACAAGCGGCACCACAGGCCTACTCCAAAACGAAGTCTACCCGACACTCTCGTCAGACCAGTCCGTGCTGGACTTCACAACACGCACAAGCAGATGTCTGGTGCACTTTGCGCACCCTGATTTCGCGCGGTGCGCGGTTATGGATATGAAGCTTGGTGAGCTGGCGAGTGTGCACTACGAGGTTTCGTTTGCGCGGGTGGATGTGCGTAACACGCCGTTTATTGCGCAGAAACTTGGGATTAAGGTTTTGCCTTGTGTTATTGGGTTTAAGGATGGGGTTGGACTTGATCGGGTTGTTGGGTTTGAGGGACTTGATGCTAGGGGCTTTGATGGGGTTGAAGGGTTTGATGTCAGGGTTTTGGAGAAGAGGTTGGTTTTCAAAGGGATTCTTTTGGCAGTGAAGATCGGGGGTGGGGATGAGGATGATGATGTGAGGGAGGAGGAGGATAGTGATGACGGTGCTGGTGGGAGAGGATTTGGGAGGAAGAAACGTGGGATTCGGGATTCTAATCCCAATGTGAGAAACCGTGGTGACGATGACGATGACGATTGGGATTAAGAGTTCTTTTTGCTTGGAAGTTTATACCCGTGGGGAAAGAGTATTGGGACGTTGATTCATGATTTCTGTATATTAACGGATTGATGACCTATATTGATGTTCATAGTTGGATGTTTAGTAGCATATCCATGGCATATTATCCATATATACCGAGCCTGATACAAGCTCTAAGCTAGCCACCGAGACACCTTGGAGGTCTCCACTGGGACTATGCATATGCCCTCCCTCCCTCCCGGGGAACAAGTCTTGTGGAACTTGAGGTTGGAAGATTGGAGAATCAAAATAAATGGGATTGTAGCCAGACACGAAAGAACAAAGCAGACTGTCATCATAGAATTACAGACAAAAAAATATCAAAGACCGTAAACACAGAGCCATCTCGACGGCAAAGGAAAACCAAAACGAAAAGGCAAAAGCGGAAGCGGAGCAAAACAGCACCCTAGAGTTACAACAAATGCCGCGAAACTGAGGCTAGAAGAAGAACAGGGGGGAATTCTATACATAGAAGCAGAAGTAGAAACAGAAGCAGAAGCAGAAGCAGAACGTTGTCGAACATCCATAAGTTCCACATTGACGCCGGATGCCCTTGAAAAACCGAGACTCGAGAGAAAACAGCAGTGTCCGGACTCAAAAAGCAAGGCATATTCTAAATAGCCACGTTCTTCATTTCGCCGAGGACCTCCGATTCAGTGGCGGCTGAGGACTCCGCAGAGTCAGATTTCTCAATCTTATCGATTTTCTCGGCCTTGTCGGAG